CTGCGCTTGGCGCCTGTGAGCGCTGAGTGAAGTGGAAAACAGGGCGAAAACAAACCCTAGACACAGAAACACTGGTGTCCGGAGGGCGAGCGCTGGGAGGCCGGTGTTGCCCTGTCCCTCCATAAAGGCCGGGATTTGGCGGGGCGGGGGATGTTCCCGGCGCCCTTTGGCTCCCGGGAGGCCGCAGGGGAAGCGCAGCTCGCTCGCCGCCGTGTTGTCCTCCTGCGGGAGGGCAGCAAGCATCCTGTTCCCTCAGCTGTGTTCCCTGGCAATTACAGCGTGGCAGCTACAGTCAGCAGCCTTCAGGGAACAGGGATAAAACCGAGTAAAAAGACAGTCTTTCTGAGGCACCATTTAGTTATTTGATGTGGCTTCCTGTAAAGGCAGAAATATTTACAGCTTACCTGTTCATTATCCTGTGGAAGACAATTAGGGAATAATTGGGAAAAAAAAAAAAGTTTCAATCTCTGCAGCAGAGACTGCTTAGCTTGTTCTCCATAAAAACAAGTAACATCTGACTGAAGATGCTGGACTTTATTATGACACAGGACTTTCTGATGCCTAGAGAGAGGACAACGGGCATAAATTCAAACACAGACAATTCAACTTAATTAAAAAAAAACAACACAACAACACAGGGAGGATGGGCTAACAATGGAACAGGTTGGCCATGGAGGTTGTGGAGTCTCCATCCTTGGAGATACTCAGACCCCAAGTGGACAGGGTCCCAGGCAACACTCTCCAGCTGGCCCTGCTCTGAGCCGGGACTTGCACTAGACAGTTTCCAGAGCTCCCTCCCAGCATCAACCACTATGTGTTTCCATTCCAAGTACTCCTTCTGCAGCTCTGGTTCCAGGTTTTCTGAGCTGGTGTTTAATGTTGCCCTTTAAAAAAAATGTTTGGTTTGCTGATAAAAATGCATTAGGATTTTTTATTTTTTTTTTTTAATTCAGGCTGAACATTTGTCTGCCAGACTTGTTTAGTGATAGGTTTTTCTGCTGCTGCTATAACTTCTGACTGACAAACCCTTTCTACAAGGGATTAATATTACTCTGAAACAGAGTTCAAATATTTTGAAAAAAAGTTAACTTCTAGTACTTTTTCATGTATATATACACAAGAAAAAAAACGTAATAAGTTAAAATTCTGTTTTTGCAGATGCTATAGTGGGTGGAGAGCCTGTATTGATGGGTCTTAAGTAAATTACATTTCTAACCTTCATTAGCAGCTGTTTATACATGTTTAAAAGTTACACTTGGAACCATTTCAAGTTGTCTGTTTACATTATTTGCATGTAATTGTTCTTCCCTTTCACATAATTTTGCATTGTCAGTTTTTGTGCATGTTCAATTCTGTATTGTTTTTGGTTTTTTTTCATTGTGATACTTAAAGTCATTGTCAACTAATTTTATTTTAAATCATTTAGAAACACATAGCTCATGGCCTGGTCCCTGCTGCTACCATAGCTCCTAAACCTGCAGTTCCCCGCACCCCTCCCCCTCGTAGTCCAAACCCTTCTCCAGAAAGGCCCAGGTAGGTTTTGAGTATTTTTCTTTTGTTTCATCAACAACAGTCGCATGATTAGAAGAATTGCATGTCCTTGCTGCAGCATTTACATGAACTTTTTCATAAACAGAATATATTTTTATTGGGAACAGTCCCTTTCTTTGAACTTTAAAGATTCCTATTTTTCTCCCACCCCTAAGCATGTTAAATAATTAGGACAATGACCATTATGAATATGTAACTTATAAATCTGAATCAATTAAAGACAAATGGACTATTTAGAGTTAGGACCATTTTTAATTTGGCTGCTAGAGTAGAATGTAGGACTGTAGCAGGACTAGTACCATGAGACAGGACATTTTTAACTCATTAGAAAAACATAAACATTACTAACATGCCATTTTATTGCATATTAAAAAAAAGTAGGAACTTAAAAATTGGCATGTAAAACTATGTTGGCTTAGATTTGAATTAGCTACATAGGCAAGGTATATAAAGAGGAAACAAATTTTTCTTTTAATTTGTAACTTCTAACAGTTTTTCTTCTGTTTTCTCTGTTTATTTCAGTTCTGGTTCTTTTCCTTGGTCTTTCTAGTGTCTGTAACATTCCTACTTAATCCCACCTCATTCCTTTTTCCTTTTTGGCCTCCAACTTGTCACGTCTGTTACAGCCCTCCTTATTTATCTTCTTTACTCTTTATTCCTACTCTTTTTGTCCGTCTTTATCTTACCCTTCTCTACACTCTGCAGCATCGCACAAACAGGCACTTGTATCCGCTTCCCTTGCCCGAGCCTGCAGTGTGCCAGCATTCATTTACAGCTTCAGAGGCATCAGGAAAAGGTTCAGGATAGGGAATCATGGAAACTTGAGGACAAAATAGCAGAACAGGGAACACTTTCAACACAGCACCAAGGAACATTGTTATGGTTAAAGGGAATGCAAGTACTGTAAATTATCTATGTCAGTTTTGGAAATGTAACTCGTATTCCATGATTTTCATGCATATGATTTGGGATAACCAATAGGTAATGTACTTTACTCTTAGATATCTGCATTATGATAGCTTGCCCAGTTTTGTGCTTTACTTTGGGAGATAATAGTTTATAACCAGTCCCTTAGCACTTCAGTGGTGTTCATGTGTGTTAACTGTGAACTTTCTGCTTTGCTTAAATAGAGAAGACATTTTGCAATGGAAAAAAATACAAAATGTTGACCACGGAGAAGACATCAGTGTTATTTCATGCCATTACTCTGTTTTCTTCCAGGTCTGCCCTAGCAGCAGCCATCCTGGCAACAGCACTAACTGGGCGCACTGTTGCTATTCCTCAGCCTCGGCAGCGATCGCTTTCTGAAAGTGATGCCACCTGTGTGGAACAAGAATGCCTTGAACCATATGCAACAGTCACAGAGCTCAGAATGGGGTAGTGTGCACTTTCTGGCTTGATAGATTAGAAGTAAAATTTGTCAATAATATTATTTCACCAAAGAATTACAGCAAACTAATTCAACTTCTGGTGTTAAAGCCACTTACTTTCTTGTTACTACATCATGAATTGGGTCTGAAGTGTCCTTATTCCTTTTCTTATAAAGTTATGCCATCCATTCCGTCTTTACAGAGGTGATTTGGATTGCACAGCAGTCACAAGTAAAAGCATGTTATTATTTCTGCCAAATGACAATCAATTATTCAAATATTTAATTATTGAAGAATCATCCCCATTACATGTCAGATGTTTCCTTTGTGCTAAATAATTATTTCAGACTTTTGGAAGAATTAGCAATGTTCCATCTCTAATCTGGCATTTTCTTTAAGATAGAGAAGAAAATGTAGTTCCGGTGTTAACTGTCTATTTTAAAGCAGACTTTTAGGCTAGATTTCTTGTTGGCAGCTGACAGAAGCATAGATGTCCATCTGTGTTAGCTGTTTCAACTTGGGTATATGTTCTACTTTACTAGTGTTTTCATCTTTTGGAAGAGTAACCAACACTGAAATAGCCTTTACACTGCTTTCTACTTGCAGGCCCAACTGCAAACTTGATGGTAGTCACAGATCTGTGCAATCCCTGGAAACAACAGGCAATTATTGTGATGATGAGGACATGGAAACTTACTTCTCAGATGCTGATAAAGAGGCGGAGTCCAGCTGTCACAGTAATGAGAGATGGGGAGAAGGCTTTAGCACCAATGCTACTTATGCTGTTCCCTGCAAAAAGATAAAGGTAGGATTTCAAATCCATTAATTCCTTTACAGTGTTTTAATATATTAATGCAGAAAGAAATCAGAAAACACACCTGTGTTAAGAGATAGTTGTCTGTAAGAGGAGGGGGGAAAAAAAGGGAGTGAGAGGTGTATGTGGGACACTGGTAGGTGATCAACAGGGGAAAAGCAATGAAGACCATGTTTAAAATTATTCATTAATCCCTTAGTACTGTGATACAGCAGGTAAATGGCTGATCTTTTATTAAGAGCAAGTTTAGATATGACACAGAGCAAACAAGATAATTTCACACTCTTGTGACTGAGTAAGGCGACAGGGAATTTTGGCCTTGTGACCTAAATGACTCATTTTCCTGCTTCCAGTTGATCATTGTAAGGCTTAGATTTTAT